TAAACTTTATTTAAAGATTTTTTTTTCAATTTATGCACGTGTTAACATGTGTTGAAGATGTAATAATTATATTTTTAATATTAATTTAAATAAAAATATAAAAATCAACATTAATTTTAGTATTATTAATTATTGAATGAACCTGGCCTTTTGGACCAAGTGATTCTAGCCACGCTTGTAAGGTCCATATCCCCTTCTCACAGGATAATGGTGCGAATCGACCTCATGACAAAATGTTCAAAAAAAAAATTAATTATTGAATAAATTTAATTAAATAATATGAATTGAATCAAAAAAATTGATAAAATTTATATCATTTTTTATATTTTTCATGTTAATAATACAAATATATATATAAATAAACAAAATTTTAATTTACTGTAAATTTCATATCAAAAAGAAAATTACAGAAAATAGAATAATTGTTAACTTTAATAGTTGTCAAATAATTTAATAAAATTTAACAGCAACCATTAAATTTAAATTAATTTCTTAAAAATTAAAATTTAAAGTGATAAATTATATTAATACATTTTTAATATAACAATTTACTTTAACATGTCAATTTTATAGGATAATTTACGCATTTGACTATTAAAATTACCCTAAAAGGGTGAAGTGATCATCTTTTTGTCCGCTTTTCACACCTAGGCAATTTGGCAATTTCAAATCCAGAATCGAAAAATAATTAATACATTTTTCGGTTCAACATATTTAACAATATTTATCGACTTAGTCATTCAAAATTACTTTTGAAAATTTTTTCACTTTAAATTCAAATTTAAAAGTATTAATTTTTTAATGATTGAATCAGTAAGTATTATTAGATATACTGAACTGAAAGATGTATCAATCATTATTTATCCAAAATCTCATTAAAGGTCAAACTTTAAATCCAAATTCTCTAAGCTCTATTTAGTATTTACCCAAAAAAATTTTTTCTAAGTTCTGTTGACTAATACAATGATTTTTCACATTTCAATTAGTACTGATCAATCCTTAATTTATTATTAATTCACAATTGGCCCACAAGCGAAGAAATAGTTATAGAGTTGGATTCAACTATTGTCAAGCATGCAAATTAGGTAATTTTCCAAGTATTAGGTTTCTGTCATCGAACTTAGTCTTACCAGAAAACAACAGCTCAGGATATTTTAATTTGGACTGAAGGAAAAATCTGTCTCCTACCGAAATGCACCTTATCTGTCCCAATTAAAATATAGGATCCTAGTATGCAACTTAATTTCCGACGTCCCAGGGCAGGAATTGGGGTGTTGAGTAGGTGTGCAGCCGCCACATTGGACTATATCACCGGCATACAAAGTTAATAACTTATTCCTCTCGTAGAATGAATTTAATTTTTTTAAATAAAATTTTAAATTTAAATTTTATAAATAAAAAAATAAATATTTAATAAAATTTTTTTATTAAGATTCAATGTAATTTAATTTTAAATTAAAAATTTAACATAACTTTTAGATATTGAGGGATTTATTTAAAAAAAAAAAAATTCTGTTCAATTACATGTTGGCAACCTAAACACGTTCGCAAGTTTTGTCCAATTAAATATCATAATTTAGGTCAATATATATGTATGTACTGTCTGTGTCATTCGTAGTTCCATGTGGGTTGCACAGCCGCAGAACCCTTCAAATGTTCAAACCAAAATCAGGAACCAATGACATTAGAATTTGTAGTTGTTTGGTTGTTGAACTCTACGATTAGCAGAACCGGTAGCAGCGAAAATTACTAATTTGAACTTTCAAAATTAGACTATGCACAACATTCAAAGAAGGAGAATCAAACTTTTCAGATCTAATAATTTATTTTAAATTTTTAATATTTAGATAAAAATAATCAAAATTTAAGTTTCACCAATTATTTAAATATTTATATTTGACCAACGAGTTATTGATGCTTCTCCAGCACATTGGTTGGCTCAATTCCTCTTCTCCCTTATAACTGTTCTTGTTAAAAGAAAAAAAAAAAAAAGAAAAAGAAATTCAAGGAAGGAAGGATGTTAATTATGACATCATTTTCACCTTGATTTAACTCTTTTAGATTTTCCAAAACCTGGACCGGCGATCACGGGGTACAACTAGTAATCGACAGGGTTTTGTACACGTAATAGCTTATAAGAACCAAATTCTAATCTGTTAAGAAAATTTTCACTAGTATTGTATTTTTCTGATCTGTTATATATAGATACAAATTGATATATATTTTTTAATTTAATATATTATATAATATATTTATTAAAAAATAATTATTTTTTGATATAAAATTAAAAAAAATAAACTTAAAAAATATATGAGTTAATTGAATTAACTGTATTTATATTATTTTTAATAATTAAATTAAAATGAGTGTTAAAAAATATATTAAATAAAAGATATACCACTTAATTTCATAAATATATACTATATATGTTGTTATATTATTGTAAATAGTATTGATTGTAAAAAATAAAAGAAATAAAAATAGAAACAGAAAACGACAATGTAATTAAACAGCCCTTTTAAGTTACTTCCCCGATGTTAAATTATGCTCGAGAATGCAAAAGGTTATATTACTTCTTTGGGGGATGTTAGCTAGTTTGGGCATATGCCAGAAGAGAAAATCAATTTGGGTGGTTAAATTGTTGAATCCTTGACTAGGTGATATTATATGGAGAGTAATTTTTGCACGTGTGAATGGTATTTCATGTTTTTTTTTTTTTTTTTTTTTTTTTTTTAAAAGGTAAAAATTGATAAATGTTTTTCAAGGTAGGGTGGCTGCAGCCTGGAGGAGGTAGCATGTGACGATGGTGTGGCCGTG